CCCCCCCCCCCGTCGGGCAAATCCTGGTGCCACCTCTGGACCCCACGCCCAAAGAACCCCCCCTTAAAATGACCTGGCTACGGGCCTGAATTACAAGTTTGAAACACAAACCATGAACAAACAGCAAGTATACTGGACATTCATTATACAAAAACATACGCAAAGACGTGAGTTTGTAGGAAAACATGCGTGCCCTGTTCTGATCGGTCAGCTGTAAGCTTTGACCTGGTTCGATTGTGTTAATAGACCTTCCCGGAGTGGAACGGTCTCTTAGCACAATCAGACCAGGTACTAATCATGTTCGTGGGTAGAGAGAGAAAATTTGCTTAAGTACATATGGATAACACATTATTAATACTGCGCTACTGCAGCGCTGTAAAGCCGGACACTCACTGCGTCGTACGACGGCCGTACGACCGTCGCACGACGAATCCACATTTGCTTCCGGCGAGCAATAGACGACGCAACGGTGTCTGCTGATTGTCAGTGGCAATCTGAACGGATCCTTATTAAAAAGACGATGCGTTGGGCCCGCGTCTTCGCGTGCGTTCTTCGTCGCATTGCCATCGCGTCGCCGTCGGCGCAGTGAGTAACCGGCTTAACTATTAATTATTTAACACAAATTATTCAAATTCAAAATTGATTCAGATAAAATTTTGCTACAATTAAAGTAAAATACATAAGAAAATCACATTCAGTTACACTAAAGATAACATTTATAATTACAATTTTATGCACTTTATTTACTAGGGATACCGACTGATTTCTTTGACCAACTGTCTTTAAATTTCTTGAGCCACCACTGTAGAGGTCAGTAAACTAAAATAACTACTGTAGGTATCCTCTTCCCACAATACAACTTAGTGTACATGTCTCCATCTTCAATTAACACCTTCAATTAAAGACCACTTTTCTGTGGTCCCAAATCAACAAATTTCTTTTACCTTTATTCTAATTAGAGACCAATGCTACTAAACACCATGGAAACTCGAGTGCAAAAGTGGTTTTTAATTGGTTGGAGACCTGTAGTTGCATTCGTGAATACATATTTCTTGGACATGCGCGTATTGCCATTAAAACACTCGGATTAAAACATGTTCTTATTGGTCAGATTGTTAAGTTTGATTGACACTCCAGATATGTCCATTGCTCTTAGTTTTATTTTGGGCCTTTGCCGACCCATAGCACACACAGTGCAACACCACGACGATGGGGACATGAGCAGTTACTGGTTCTGTTATAGGCATTTATAATGCACCATTTCTTTGGGGTTATAAAGGGCAGCTCTTTTCCCAAGCCATTGGGTCCACATGCTTTGCAAGTGTTGCTGCTGGTAATCAGTTTAGTACACCATGAAACAACCCTCTGCTTAATATTTTGTAAATTATGTACTACATTTTATGGTGCATCTCAGAAAGATGGTTATCCAGCATAAACAGAGCGCAAATTCAGTCGTTACAACTAGTTTGAACCAACTATGCTGCTCTTATTTAATTACTATTGTTTTCATTGATTTACACAATCAATTTAACAAGTTATTTCCATCATTCGAACAGTATGGTTGCCTGGGAGATGAGACTCAGCAATTGATGAGGATGATGCATTAAAAGTTTCGAGAGGAATGTGACAACATCGTAGTTTCCACTTGCGCAACAAATGTACAATGGAATAATCAGAGCTACAAAAAAAATATAATATTAATTAAACTTCCTGAATTATATTAACGATTATTCAATGCTTGGTTTGGAATGAACGTACATGTATGAGTTATGTAACAATGTGTGCTATGCAAATTGCAAAATAGCATTACATATATATATATATATATATATATATATATATATATATCATTAGTTATGTAGACGTCATTTTAACCTTCTATGAACATTATAAATTTGAGGCAATAAATGGTCGTACATGACCAAGAAAAAAAAGCAAAAAAAGGAAATAAAATGTACATTTTCAATATGTAATATACTGTACCTTATTTATTGGAATAAACGCCCAGGGGCGTATATTGTTGAGAAAGGTTTTGAGGGGTTTATTTTTTGGGGTGTAAAATAATACGTATATACTCAAAGAACCACCCCTAATTTCACCGTAAATGTGGAACTACAACATCTAACTACCGTCAACATGTGTTATTGCATGATCATAAAGACGACTTAATCACAAACAGGTTAGAAAAAGTGTAATTCTACTGCAGTAAAACATTAATAGAATGTGTTGAGAATTATGTTGTTTTCTATTATATTTGTTTAGTATCACTTATAATTTTTTTCTGTCAAACTATAGTTTTTGCTTAAATGAAAATTAATTAATAATTGATTGAATGAATATAATTTGATGTGACTAAGATATATTATTTAAGTAGAACCCCGGACCACAAACACAATCTCTGCCTCCTTGGTTTCCCAGAACTTATATTATATTATAAATTATGTTTATAATTACATATTTATAAGTGAATAAATACTTGATACTTGATACTTAGGAGGTAAGAGGGGGGTGTTTATTCGAGGAAACAATAAATGCCTCGAGGCCTGTATTCCAAATGAGGTGCTAGAGAGGGTCCTTATTCAAAGCATAGTGTTTATTCGAATAAATACGGTAAGCTTTTACATCCAACATTATCATGTTTGCAAAGCTAAGCCATTACGTTAATTTTCCAGTAAGCTATATAGTATTTCATAATGTAACTTCAATATACTGTAATTAATGTTAATCCTTTGAAGTTTCTGACGTATTAATAATTTATTATACTATATTGATTGTCAGTCAATGAGTTTATTGAATTCACCTGTTGGTGTGTATACTGTATGAGAGATGATTATGTTCAGATACAAAATGTAATCAATCACCATCTCTCCTGACATAAAGATTGACAGTTGATTGATTTTCTGCTTGAATAATTAATGAGCAGTGGCGTTAACTACCGCAGGTTTAGCAGGTTCGTTGAACCTGGGCCCCCAAGCTCCAGAGGACCCCGATCTATAAGGGCCACGCTCCCTTATAAAAAAATTCTAATAAAGCAATGTGATATTGTGACATTTAACTATTTGCTTCCTTCAAGGTAAGTAATTTTGGAACCACAATAACTTGTTTCCTTTACATCTATAGTTTTAAATTTTTTCTAATAGTAATGTATGATATATTGTGTCAAAACACTTTACAATATCAATATCATTTCGCAGTCCTTAATTGATTCTAGCCAATCATTACATGGTGAAGGCCTGTAACAGAAGAGTGGTACTTTGTGAAAGCATATTGGTCAACATTTATAAGGTCATTTTCATTGAGATACTGTAATAATTTAATCTTGGACTTGCTTTTCAACAATTTTAACTATGCGGCATACACTGACATTGGTCTACAATATTGTAAGGCTTTGTTTGTTGCATTTACCTGACCAGACGAGGGGTCAGCTTTCCCTGACGAAAGAAAAGCGGGCGTGGTTGAGCTTCGACTAAAGGTTTCAAAGGTCGTCCGGGGGCAAAGCCCCCTGAAAATTTTTACAATTTAGGGGTTTCAAAAGCTTATTAATTAATCGATTTTATAGTCTACTAATATGTAGAAAATACATATACACGCAGCTCTCCCCGACAGTGGGGGGGGGGGCCCTGATTGACAGTTGATTGATTGATTGGTTGATTAATTGATGAGAAGTGATGTTTAGATACATAATGTACCATAATCAATGTCATTACTCACCGTCTCTTCTGATAGAGTTTGATTGATTGATGAGAAGTGATTATGTTCAGATACATAATGTAATAACTCACCTTCTCTCTTAATAGAGATTGATGAAGTGATTGATTAATTGATTAACTGATTGATTGGTTGGTTGACTGATTGATGAGAGGTGTTTATGTTCAGATACATAACATAATCACTCACCTTCTCTCCTGAAAGAGATTGATTGATTGATTGATTGATGAGAGGTGACCATGTTCAGATACATAATGTATTCACTCACCTTCTCTCCTGAAAGACTGATTGATTGATCGGTTTGTTGATTGATGAGGGGTGTGTTATGTTCAGATACATAATGTAATCGCTCACCTTCTCTTCTGATAGAGATTGATTGACTGATTGATGACTCATTGATTGATTGAAAGGTAATTCTGATTAGATACATAATGTAATCACTCAACTTCTCTTCTGATACAGATTGATCGATTAACTGAAGTATTGATTGATTGCTTGATGAAAGGTGATAATATCCAAATACATATGTTATCACTCACCTTCTCTCCTGATATGTAACCCAGCATTTGGCATTCTGGTTCCTATTCAGTATGAATGCAATTGTAACCACAATGTCTTGAAAATCTATCCATAAAAAAAAAACATGTAAACTACAGTTGATCCATAGAGTAAAAATAATATCTCGAATTTGTATGGCACCAATTCCAAATAAGATCAAAGGCGCAACACATGTGAAAAGCCATCGGAAAACAAATAGGTTTTAAGCTGTGACTTAAAGTTGCAAATTGAGTAGGAAGAAGTTATGTAATTTGGAAGTTGGTTCCAGAAATAGGCAGAAGCTACAGAGTACTACAGTGTTACGTCACAATACCATGTGATACTACTCCGTTGTTATCGTTGCAAAATGCGTTCAACCGGATGCCATTTTCTCCACTGACAAACCATTGATCCCAATTTCTAACGTAATTATTAAGATGGTGTATCTTAGTTTGTCTTTGTAAATTTTAATTGATAATTACATTTGTGTTCGATAACTAATATAATGCAAGCTTTTGTGTTTTTAGTACATTTTGATGGTAAAATATTAGATTTTTAAAAATCTAATATTTTAAAATATATATCTTAAAAGATGCCTATTCCAAAAAGCCTGTTAATGATTGAGCTTGCACAATGTAATATCAAAAGAAACAACCTGTCACAACATGGGCAAAAAAACATATATCAGTCAATGGAAATATAATGTGGATGAAAAGACTGTAGTACCAAGTTAAAGACAGATAAATAGATAGACAGACAGATATTCATTCAAAATAATCAAATCTAATTACCTTTCTCATCATAAAAACAGTCACTAGCTAGCACAATATCAACTTGAGGAATATTTATGAGAGCTGGTGAATACTGCCCCCAAGTTATACCAACAACACTCACTTGGTCTTCAATATAATTTTCTCTACAACTTCTTCTACAATTTTCAAGGCATTGAGGAAGAAGGGAGCTGTCAGAGAGGACAACGTCTCCTCCCAATTTAGCAGCTACAATGCCTGGTAGACTTGTACCTGCACCTAACTAAAATAATATAAAATAAAAAACATAAACAGGTATTTGGAGCCAAACTACCATGTGGATAATGACAAAATAAAACCTATTTTTTTTCCTCCTATTTGTCCCCTTACTTCCACCAGTGCTTCTCTAGTTCATATGAAGTTAATACAGTAGAACCCCTATGAAGGGCACACCATCAGGACCAAAAAAGTGTCCCCTTATTTGTTTCAATTTGTGTTCAATAAAAGATAACAAGGTATATATAAAATAATATGGGTGTCCCAAAGGAGGGGTTCTACTGTATTACTTTTCATTGTTAATATTATTTATTATTTTCATTATCATTAGCATTAGTCTGTTATTTCCATCACTATACCAAAATCATTATTTAACATTATCAATACCATTATACTGTTGCACTAAATTGATTCAGTGATGGTCTAAAATATAATGCCTTATTAAGTTTTGCACAAAAAAACTATTATAAATTCTACTTCTCCTTAAGTCCAGTCCAAAAAACTGTATGCCATATATAGTCATGATGTGCCTATATATGGTCATGATATGATGTCATCATGACCACAAAAAAAATGCTGTATGCCCATATATAGTCCTGATGTGCCTATATATGGTCATGATGTGATATCATCATGACCACAGAAAAAATGCTCTATGCCCATATATAGTCACAATGTGCCTATATATGGTCATGATATGATGTCATCATGACCATTTATCCATGTCACATGTTTTTGTCAAATTTGTTATCAGTAGTCTAGACACAATTTTTTTGCTTTGTTATTATTCACATGATACAAAATTAATAATACTGTACCTCAAGGATTTGCTTCCTTTCAATAAACTCGCTCTTAAAAACAATATACTGAGCTAGGACAACAGCTGATGGCCAAATGTACATACCATATCTGGGATCAAGTACCTGAATTAAATATATTAACAAAATAAACCATTAGATTTACATCTGTATTCCATCAACGATAATGTGGATGTATGTTTGCAAGTATAATTTGAATATGGAAGCAACTTCTTTTACTTCCTCGCAAATGGAAACTACACTAGTTCCAGCTATTTATAATCTTGTGCTACATAAATGTTAATACTTTATTATTATTATTATTATTATTATTATTATTATTATTATTATGAAGGGCTACCCCTGTCAAATATGGGAATACAGCTAAAACCTGAGTCCACAGTCACATAAGAAATAAATATTTATAAGGCCCGTATGGCGTTCCATATCAGGCATTCCATACCTAACCTTTTCCACCCAGACAAACATGTATCGACGACCCGCTATCTATAACCCCAACTTCTTCGCGGGGGTACAGAGTTATAGTAAGTATATTAGCTCCTAAGTTATAGTAGTCTTAGGATGTAGTAGTAGTTATACCAGTATAGTTTCTAGTGGTGTGTTTTGGGCATAAATATACTTTTTCCATAGCTTCAAGGTAGGCCTAGTCTTTTGGTCTAGGTAGGCCCACACCGTGGGCTCTCGAGCTCTCAGCACTGAGAAACGTGCTCCAAAAAACAAAAGGCCTAGGCCCTAGGCCTCGTTTTAGAGGCTTTATACAGTACTACAAACTCGGCTAGGGTTTTAAGACTAGTCTCAATTGTGTGAAATATGATAGCATACCTCTGGAATTCTTATTTCTATCTTTTTTCCGTTACACAACTCAAAAATAAATGTCCTATTATACCTTTGACACTCGTCCATGTGTGAATTATTGTTTACATTGTGTGAGTTCGATCGGGTGCGTTCTATATTCTTTGGTTTCGTGGAGCACTTGATTTGTATTAGGACCAACTGTACTGTATGTTTTTGGGTCCAGGCCTACTGTAATCTCAATGACTGATACTGTAATCAACGCTGCCGGAGAAAAATTATATTCCGGGAAATAATGAAGACAATAAATATACAGTAAACATTTTTTACATGGTGAATAGTGACTTTTAGAGAATAAAGCTAGTCAAATATACAGCCGTTGAGGGCTCTATACTGGAAGACAAAACTCCAGAAACTTGGATAAAAAAATTGATGGAAAAAACACATTATAATCTGTCTTTCTAGGTTGTTATTAATAACAACATTAAATTAGGCCTTCTGTTTTTACTAAATTATAGGATGTACTTTATTATTTTTGGTATACTCCTATTAGATTTTGGGAATAAAACTAGAAAAACATAGGCTAAATAAACAAACATACACATTTTATATTATTTCTTATCATTTTATTGTGCTTTAGAGCAATAATTGATTACAAAAAAGTATAACATCACAATTAATACCACAGTAAAACATCGTGTTCTAGCTTACACGCGAAGGGTCTCACCCCATTCAAGGGTCAAGTCCTATGACATTATTGTTAATTAGCAGATTTTACGTGTCAAAATGTAACGCCGTATCTAGTAAACCATTTATCCTTTGAAAATGCTGAGCCGGCCTATATGCCTACATGATGATGTAGGCGATACACGATCATCATGATCTATTTTGTTGTTTATTCTGGGCTTATGGCAGAGTAATATATGTCTTAAAGACGTAAAACGATTAGAAAATAACCCAAACGTGTTTATAATAATACGAAAAATTAAGAGATGATCAGTTTAGTCTGATTGTTTAAACAATATTGATATGAGAATATTTCTATAGGCCTATATAGTTTTAGTGTAACATTATCCCGAGGTTGAAATAAAAAGAGAAAGTTAGCTGAACCCTGCAGCTGCCAACCGTCGTAGCGACGTTGAGTGCTTGTCCGACGGGTCGTAGGCCTAGCGGATCGTCAGTTGCGCGATGCCTCATCGCGTCACGGTCGAGAGTACTAGAAAACTTGATCGGCAAGTCACTTCGTTCGGCTGAAATAGCCTGACCCTAGCTGAGCCTGACCCTAGCTGCTCAAATTTAAAGACTGGACTGTAAGCTGCCGGTTTTCTCCGTCCTCCAGACTCGACCATTCATTGAGCAGTATGCACATCGACATATTATTAATCACATCGTGTCTTCTAAATAAATTGTTCGTCATCCTTTCCTCGATTTCGTTCAGTGTATGGGATAAATCTGGAGTAAAGTGATATATTGCCAACTCCAATTAAACATATCACGATAGCTGTTGAACCAAACGCCAGTCGTGCACCATACGCTGAATATACAATTGAACCATAAAGAGCACCTAACAGTTTTCCAATGTTTCCCATGGCACTAAATACACCCATACCAAGTCCCTGGAATGCAAGTAAAATTGTAATAACATGTTAGAATTTACTATTTTAAATACATACAGTAATTCTATAGTATAATAATATAATAATATTGAAGTATATATATGTATGCGTATTATTGTGCCTGAAAATCTGATTGTAAAGACTGTTTGTGATACGTTGCTTTTAAATTGTAAAATAATTATAATTTTGTTTTTTAACGTACATTTGATTTGCGAAATAAAGTTTACACGTACACACGCCCCCCCCCCCATACACACACACACACACACACACACACCACCCGTACCAATGGATACAGAGCTGGGTAGACTGAAGCAATATAAAGTGACACAAGGAAAATGTACAGCAAAGGATTGAAACCCCGACCTCGAGATTGGGTAAACAAACTGCCACATCATGCGTCAAACCATTTCCAAGTATTAGGCCTATTAACATGTTGTAAAACGATACAGGAGACCGTCTGATATTGGATTTTTATTTCGTTTATTGTAAAATTAGTTTATAGATTAATGCATTTAAGCTTACCTGATGCTTGGGATGCAAAGACTTTGCATATATGAAAGTTGTTGCACTTTGGAACATGGGATACCCAACAGCCTGGATGGCCAAAGCAATGACATACTGAGGTAACGGGATTGCAGGGGTAGAATCACACCATGTATATTTCCAAGGACACCCGCCTTCACCGGCATGCTCAGACGTGTCATTGAAACCTAAGTTATTCACAACCAACATTAAATAATAATATTTAATTTGTCGCACAAAAAATTAAATTAATATTACACTGCTTATTATTTTAACACATGTTGAACTTCACGAAGTGGGCTACAATTTTATATTACAGGTCTCCCGTCAATTTAAAGACCATTTTGGGACTGGGGTTTTCATGGTCTTTAGCAGCTTTGGTCTCTAATTAGAATAGTAAAGATAAAAAACATTTGCTAATTTGGGACCATGGAATAGTGGTCCTTAATTGAAGGTGGTCTTTAATTGGAGGGAGACCTGAGTTTAATCGGTCATAAGTAGTGACTTAACCTAGTGACATACCCATTGTTGGTCTTTTAGGTGTACCAGGACCAAACGGGATGGTCAAGACAGAGCTGATAAGAAGTAACGCCATTCCAATTAATACGAAAACACGCTCACGAATCCTATTAAAAGATTTATGATTGCAAATGTATAATATTAATTCTATACAAATCTTTTTCTAATAGCATAGGGAGGGCGTCCTCCAATCGCGCAGGATAGACAAATTGCCGGTAAAATAATGTTAATACTTTGACATGTGTTTCGGGGGCTTGATTAAGACATCTTGTGGTTCCATACTGCACTGCACCCTCCAATTCGAGCCCCTCTAATTCGAGAAAACTTTTTGCACAATCTTTTAACACAATGCTAGCCCTCTAATTGGAGGCCGAACCCCGAGACCACCCCATATTTTCAGGGCCCAAAGTGGTCTCGAATTGGAGGGTAAACTGTATTCATTCATGAAGTGCTCCTGCGAAAGGAATGGGTTCCACTGATTGGTTCCGTGTCCGGTCCGATGCATGATCACTTTACTTCTTGTGTCCATTTATGTCCAACCCATAAGGCGATATAATTCATGTTCAAGAACACAAGCAAATATCAACGTTAGAAGGTTTAAAACCTGGGAATATGCACCTGACTTCCGATGTCTTGCCTAACATGAATATTGAAAGAAATAATATTATAAGGGTATATGGGGCATCGACTAAATTGTATCTTTATCTTATTGTATTTGGAATTGTTCCCACGCTAGATCAGAACATAGCTCGGTTTTAATTTACTATGAATTTAGCACATGGCATTTTACAGGCCACTCACCGTTTTGATAATTTTCCTAATACCATGACAACAACAATTGCGGTACCAGCTAAAGCGAACATTATCATCCCAAAGTTTTTTGTTGCTAGTTGTCGACTCCATCCGAGTATGTGCATTCCATAAGCCGCCGCAACCCTAAGAATTATATATGAATAATATCCGATTTATGTTAAGCTTGGTTTATACAGTCGCCACACACTATCGCCGACCGCTTTCGGTGATGTAGATTGGTCAGTCGAATCACGGAGCCTTCCCGATTGTGTCGGGGACAGCTACGCATTAGAACGATTTCACTGAAAACACTGTAGCGACAGTGTAGCGATTGTATGGAAACAATGCTTAACAAACATTTGGATATTGATTTTTAGATCACGCAACATCTACGCAACTTAGTAAGCAAGACAGAACACTACAATGGTTGAATGATGCCTAACATTAAATATATTGCATGAATGTGAACACTTGAAGGCTAGTTTCCATAAAAATCGGTACACGCTATCGCCGACTCCTTGTGGCGATGCTGATTTGGTCAGTTGATCAAGGAACGTTCCCGATTGCCTCGGGGACAGTTACGCAGCGCAAGGATTGCAGTAAAGCCCAGTTTTCATAAAAATCGCACACGTTCGCCGAATCCTAATTGTCGACGCTGATTGGTCAGTTGAATCAGGGAGCGTTTCTGATTGCGTTGGGAACAGCTACACACAGTGCAAGGATTGCAGTGACAACACTGTAGCGACTGTGTAGCGATTCTATGGAAACCAAGCTTAAATTAACTGTAGCGATAGTGTACCGGTTGTATTGAAACCAAGATATAAAGCATTAAAAACAAACATTGTATTGAACGGATGATGTTAAGTTACACAAGGAAATAACGAGCTAGATCACAGGGGAAAATCAGAGATGTTATTATGCAATGACCAAAAAGTGCTAAATTACTGTGTGTTGATATGTATTCAGATGAAAAAAAAACGAACGATTGAGTATAACATAATATATATAGAATGCAAACACTTATACGGAATAAGAGGACGAGAGTGTCCAAAATTCAAGCGAGATTAGATGACCTTAGAAAAACAACTGGAACAGAAAAATGGCACGCACACTAACAAAAATAAAAATAGAATAAATGTAGAAGCATTCTCATAACACATATGGAACGATGTGCAGAATATGAACACATAATATATATTACGAAGTGAATGACGTAATTTAGGTCACTATACTTAGTCATACGTTGATTTTACTCCAAATGTAAACACGATAGCAGCAAACTGTACATTAAGGAATACCGTTCCAATGATATCAAGCCCAGAAAACCACGACAATCTAGTAGACTTCTCTGATTGTTTTTTTCCTGCCATATAAATCGTAATAAATATATAAACCAATCATTGATCGCGTCTTAAAAATGGCGCGTTAAATAACTGAGTATGATTACGATGAAATTATACACCACTCCCCAATATACTGGTAGTCCTGTGACGTTTAACTTGGTACGTTGAGAAACTTATTAAATTAACGTATGCTCATTGACAAGCTTCAGAAGTTTGATTCGCCCCACCCCACAATAGCTTTAGAACTGGACTCGGCTAGAATGTGGCGCCCCATCAAAAAATCAAGTTTAACGTGCTTGGGCTTCATAAAGAAGAATTAGCCTATGCTCTCGTATTACATTAGAAATATTTACCTGAGTGAGTTAAGTGAACCATTTCGCTTTGGGGGACGTCGTCGATATGTACCTCTTTGAATATGAAAATGACGCAAATAAACGCTATGCTAGCCAGCAATATGTTGGTTACCGCCGGTAGGGTGTATACATTGAAGCGTAGGTCGGCGACTCCAAATCCTTCTTCACCAACAGGAACATAGATCATCTGTACAACTAGCAAAATAATTGAACCTGCTAAAACTTTGTCCAAACTAACAACTTTTTCTGTGATTTTGATATATTATCGTGATATGACATCATCATATACATAATACGGCAAATCAAGACATTTCAGAGATAAAATATGTGATTGTAAGGACAGCATTAATAAACAGGTATCGGCTTTATCGGCTATATATATA